CTCTTCTATTATACCAATTAGGCAAAGTTCAAGACCAAGATCTTCTTTTTATTCCAGTCAGGCAATAAGACCAAATGGTTTCTAGTCCATACTAAACTTCAACCCTTTGGTTACAGTTAAGAATATATTTTTTCAGAAGTTGTTGAAGGATATCACAATCAACGAGGAGCCCCACTGCTCTTCTGATACCTTTTTACCATTGTGAAGCAAAAAAATGAGAAGATGAATAATAAGCCTTCTCCTACCAACAAAATCTCTATTTTTGTTACTTTGGCTCTATAGAGTGATACTCTACTTGCTAGTTCTTTTACTTTCTAGAACCTTTTTGCCCTTAGTAGAGAAAGTGTGTACTTGGGTCTTTTCAAGTTACTAAAGGTCCAAGTTTTTATTCAAAGGAGTTTATAAACAAGTAAAGGAGGGTAGGAGAGATACATAAAGATAGGTTTCAAATTGTTTTAATGAAAGTATAAAGACTTTATTAACAAATAAATATAAAACTTCTTGTAAATATTTTTTTGTGTGTAGTTAGGGGATCAGCAAAAAAGGTTTTTATTTTTAAAAATAAGTATTATTAAAGTACCAAAAGAAATATAAAAAATAAGTTTCTTGTTTTTACTAAAGTCTATAAATAGAATATTATATTTCTTTAAAAAAAATATTTATATATTGATAAAAAGAATGTTTATTTCACTTTTTTTATTATTAACAGTTAGATTTTTATTTAAAGAAAATTATATATAAAAAAAAAAAATTAAAGTTTACTTTTAAAAATATTTTTCAATTTAATTTAAAAAAAGTAATAAGATTTTTTTAGCAAAAAGATATAAAATTTTTTTGCAAATATCTTTTGTGTATAGCCAAAAGATTAATAAAAAATCTATGATTCTAATAACTAATTAAAATAATAATAATAATAATAAAACTATAAAAATATATATACTATATACAATATATTAAAACAAACTATAATAATCACATATTTATAACAAAATTTCTTTAAATATAATATAGTAAAACTATAAAGAAAAATCAATATTTTTTTTTATATTTATAAATAAATAAATTTATTATTTAACTTATAATTTGATACTATATTGATAACTATATATATAGATATTAAACTTAATATTTATATTTAAAGAAATTGTAGATTTGTCAGGTAACTCTTTCCATTGATCTTTTGATTATACACAAAAAAAATGTTTGCAAGAAATTTTTATTATTTCTTGATTAATAAAGTTTTACTACTTTCCTTAAACCAACTTGAAATAACACTTCAAGAGTCATCTCTACTTCCTCCTTTCTCTTGTAAACATTCTCTTTAAATAAAAACCAGACTTTCAGTGACCAAAGTTATGAGTACATCTTTTCTACTGATGACAAAAAAGTTTTAAAAAGAAAAAGAACCGAAGTGCTGCTACCTATCTACCTAAAGAAACAACACAGAGCTTTGTTGATGATAAGAGACTTATCTTCCATCCACTCTCTTATCATGTTTTTGCTCTAAGAGTATTCTTTTTTAGTTTTTTCTGAGGAATTTTGCCTATCTCAGTTTGATCCTGAATTTTAAGTAGCACAAAGTTTCTTAAGCAGTAATTGGCTAGCAGAAAAACATGTCAGTAAAAGAATGTAAACAAGCTCTTACTAGTTATACTCACATGTCTCGTTAGACACTGCCTCCTAATATATTATTGGATATTAAGAAAGAGAGTAATCTTCAAGAAAACTATCTACTACTACTTAGGAAAATAAGAAAAACAAGATGCTCAAGAAGATACAGAATGAATGTAAAGTCTTAAAAATATATCACTTACTTATATAAGCCTGAAACATTAGAAGACTGGGAGATCTCTTGGAATCGTCAGTATCAATCGAAAATAAAATCACATATGAAATGGTATAATGAATCAACTTATTTATGATAGTAGTACTTCAAGAGCAACATTTATTAAGACCAGTGAAGGTGCATGCCAAAAAAACCAAGATTCCTTTTCTAGAGAGGTTATTGCAATGGATAAGTAAGGATAGATTCATTGAATGACAAAGATCTCATATCCTGTACCCTCAGTCCTCTTCAATCCCAGTTCTAAACCCCCTCGAAAACCCTTTTAACTTGTCTGGTTATTTGGAGGAACATCAAAAAGAAGACTCAATATAAGTAGGATAAGGTAAAACATAGGATCAAAATTGGAAGACATAAGAACCATAATATAGAAGTACTGAAAGCAACTAAGGAATAGATATTGCGCTCTCAACCAATGAAGTTCTCGAAGAGTATTTAGCTGATGGTAAATAAATGTTAGTAATAGCATAGTTTCAAGTGTCAATTCTATAATGGATTATTATTTTTCCTCTTTTACCAAGTTCTTTCAAGATGTAAGCAAAACCTTCTCCCCTATTGATTCTTGTATAGTTATTGTTCTAATTATTTCTCCTAGCAGTAGATAATTGTTCAAGAAGATTAATATATGAATATACATCCTCTCTTTCTTTCTTTTGGGATTAAGATAGACAAACTAAATTCGATACATACACCAATCCCCTTTAAAATTTTTTTATTACCCTAATGGTCCCTTTATTAGGTTTTTGTTTGAAGATGGCTCAGCCATAAGGTGATTTTTCAATCTATCATTAGTTTACTAGCTTATCATCGTTTTCTTCTGGTCAATTGTACCTATATAATAAAACTTCGCTAATAAACTTGACTAAAACCAGCATTAAAAAAAAAAAAAAAAAAAAAAAAAAAAAAAATTTAAAGAAATTGTATTTAAGGTATTAAACTTAGCATTTAATAAAGTTAATCTTAATATTTATATTTAGGAAAATTGAATTTAAAGAGATTTTACTATAATATTTCTATTGTACTGTATATAATATCAGTTGACCAAATTTTTAAGAATTAAATTTTAAAAAATTATTGATCAATAGAGTAATATGCAATCATAGTAAAGATGTTTTTTCAAGCATAGTGTTATAAATAGATCATCTACATCTTGTTAGATGTAAAATTTTTAGTTCATGATATCGAGAAAATGTATTTCTTAAATTGAACTTATTACGATATGCCATTAAATTATAGTATATGCATGTTAAAAAACAAACAAACAAATATTACAAGCGCCCATCGCACGGAATAAACCACTAAATTAGTATTTTTATAATTGCGGGATTGAACAAATATAACTTCCCGTTATCTATTTGGTCCTCATATATTTTTCTTTTTTAATAATTAGATTATCTCCAATATAGTAGATATGGTAGATATGCAACTTCATTGTTCCACTAGATTATCAGGAATACTGCGTTCACATGTTATAAATTTATAAATTGATATTTATACATTATACTTGAATGACTGTTTAACAAGCGAATAATGGAATTGTCAAGAGCCCCTCGTGTTACGTTAGAACGCAAAATCTTTATGGAAAACGCGTTCGATGGAATTTTTTGACAGGACGTGTCTTGATAGAATGTCAAGATTTACTTATTATGGCGCAACTGCATTTCCTTCTAAATAGCCAAACGCTCTTATATACAGTACTTTATAAGGGAAATAACGTGCTTACAAAATTTACTTGGCCACTATAGTAGTTTTAATTATTGAAGTTATTAAACGACTAGTGTAATCAATACTCGAACGCTTATTTCAGGTTTTTTCGCGAATGGTACGGTATATACAGTAGAACATGATACGGATCGTCATTTCTAATGCTTATGTACAAGGAGGGCAATTCGTGTTTGGCATCATATCAATATGCCGGATTATTTATGAAAATATTTCTCATTTCAAAAGGATTTCTGATGATTGTTTTTTATAGGCGCGTTTTAGTTTCCAAACAATTCTTTCTTGAAATTAAATTTATTATTAGTTTTCTCAAGAAATGAAACTATTTGGTCCAGCCAAAAAAAAATTTCGGAATGCACCAAAAAAAAAAAAAAAAAAAAAAGGGGAAAGGAAACAAAGTAGAGTCAAAGATTGACAAAAGGTCTAACGAGTACAGTACAATTTTTCTAAATAAAATAGTCAATTATTACATTAGCCATTATATTAATTTATATAATACACGGAACGACAATATCGAGAGTTCTTTGTTTTTTGGATTTAAAATTTTCTAATGAATTAGATTGGGCAATTTAGTAAGGTGATGAACTTGTAACAGGTAATTTAGAGGAGTTTAATGTTTCCTTTATACGCAATTGCTTACCAGTATTTCCTTCCACCTTCATTGGTTCCGGCAATTCATCTCTATAGTATCTTTTAGAACTTTTGTTACACTTATCCATGCGTAAAAAAAGCTCGTTACTACGTTTAAAATTCAATCCAAATTTATAAGTTAATTAGATATCACTAGTAACCGATACTTTATAAGATGTAAATAAAGGCTCACCTGGCCATTAAGCTTGTGAGTGACTTGATTGTCGATATTGTTGGAGTTAATAGAATACTAGTGTAATTAGCACTCGGATGTTCATCTTCAAGATCTTTTAAAAAGGGAATTCCCGATTCGACCATTTTTATACGTTTTTCTTCTGCTTCGTTAATCATTTGCATATATTTATCTTTGATCTTCCCATTGCAATCGCGATCATATTCCCAAAAACAATTTTCCGAAGAAGAATTCAATAAATCACCGATGATTGGTCGTTTTGTAGGATCAGGGTGCCAACATTTTTTCATTAAATCAAACCAGCACTTCGGTGTGTCTTCTGTAATTGTGGGACGTAATCCATTACAAATATCAATCGCGAGATGTACATCATGTGCCCTGTCATGAAAAGGGCGGTGTCCTGATGCCAGTTGATACATTATCATGCCTAGGCTATATATGTCCGAAGCGTAAGAAAAAGGTTTTCCCTGGAAGATTTCTGGTGCAATATATGGGATAACTCCATATATGTTTCCCTGTTCGGACGTTTCTTCTAGTTCCGCGGCAGGAAGGCTAAACCCTAAATCGGTGACCCTCGAAATTATCTCTTCTTTATTATCCATTAATAATATATTGCCACCGTGTAAATCGCGATGAATAATTGTTTCATCATGGATTTTTTTAATTCCGTTAAAGAGGTAATACAAACTGTTAAATTTATCCGTCCAGCTAATTCTACTAAAATTTTTAACCAGGTAACTATGCAAATCACCATTACTAACGTATTCCATGACGATAATAAAGTTTTTGGAAGCTGGATCTTGTGAAGCTCCAAAAAGTCGAATGATAGTAGCAGTTTTTACCCAATATTCCTTACAATCATATGTACGCTTAAACTACGTAAGGAAGATAGTGGTAACCCATATTAATAACTTTAATTAGATAAAATAGTTTAATATAGTTTAGTTATAAAATATTACCTCATTAAAAAAATTTCCAAAATCAATTCCACTCGAGTCATCCAGAACCTTTAACGCAACTGTTCGTTTAATCGCCTTTTCCATTTTCCCTTTTTTATTATCATAAACTATTGTTTTCTTATGCCAAGTCGCCTTGTATATTTTACTAAATCCCCCTTGGCCTATTTGTTTAATGACTTTAAGGTCATCGAAAGGAATCCACTCTAATTGCTGAGTTGGTTTATTTTTATAGGTCTTCATAATAAAATCATCAATCTTTTGATTGCCACTAAAGGCTCGTGGAAATAGTTTGTATTGGTAAAATAGACCAATTTTAAGGTTCTCCGTGATATAATCTCTCCTTTTAGGGTGCTTTCTAATTTTTGGATGTTTCTTTCGCATTTTTCCTCTGCTTGAAGAATTCTTTGAAGAAAAGCAAGACATTTTCAAAAGTAAAAGGAATAATAGGAAAAAACGCATTTAAGGAGGCCACAGAGGTTTGATTAAAAAAAAAAAAAATTAGAAGTGTACTTATATACTTTAGGTCACTAGTTAATAATATACCTTCAGGAACACGTACAGCAAATCGCTTTAAAATACGCTGTATATTTGGAAATTATAATAGTGGTGGAATGGCTAAATAAGTAAAAATCTATGAGTCGATCAATTACCATTCCCAATTCCATTGCTATTGTTAATAATGACGTCATCACAAATGGGAAATGATGGTTTTAACCATTATCTCTTTGTTCGTCTAGCATAAAAAAACCTCACAACGTGATTTATATGCTTACGATCGGAACTCCTACGAGTTCACCTTTTCGAACCCTTATTAGAAGTAGTTCTAACTATATTTAACTCAGAATTCTTTGTGCAAACAATAACAACGGAACCATCGCTGTTGGGTAAAAGAAACTTAAATATACAATATACAGTATATAGTATATGCAGCATATATATAGTATATATTATTATCTTAAAAAGTCAAAACAAATGGTCTTCGACCAAAACTTTTAAGAGTCTGCATATAATCGGTCAATTGTTTATACTGTAATATCAAGCAATTCGGTCTATTACGTTTTACTGATAGGAAATAATGCGTTTGAAAGAAGATATCGTCATTAAACTCAAAATCAATTTCAAGTAGTTGGATTGTTTGTCATTAAATTCATTCAAAATATATTTTATAAAAAATGTTCAATAATCTTCGAACTAAAAATAGAACGTGATTAAAGAAAAAAGAAAAGAAAAAAGAAATAATAAACCATGTAATGTGAAATGACTGGCTTCGTACTATCGAGCAAGTTTGGCAACTAACGAGAATTAATCTTTTCATATTTTCACAATAAACTTTAAAAGTCACCATTACACTGTACCATTTATTTACTTATTGAAATCCAATTTATTCACACGACCCCTGTTTCCGAAATAGAAATTCACATTTCCTTTCACTTGATCCACCCCTTACTGGGAATTCTTGCTATTCTTTTTCAAGCCAAAATATGCGGCCACTCTGGTTAAAACGCAAAACCCGAGTAACGCGACCAAATTCGTGTACCACTCTAAATGATTCAAATTCATCGATTCAAGTATCGAATAACCCG